CATATCCTCAACCACTTAACTTACTCACACAATCATCTGACAACATGTTCGCCAACCCTCGTATCACAACGCATGCACGCATGCACGCACGCACACACACACACACACACACACACACACACACACACACACACACACACACATTCTTCTTTCCCCACCATTATGTCTACGTCAGCCATCATGGATCCATGCGCATGCTTTCATACATAATCCATCCTCCCACCATTCCCCAACATCCATCGAACTATAACTTTATCCGCCCTCATGTATCGGTATTCGTGCTTTCATACATACATATACCCCCCTACCATTCCCCTACATCCATCGCAGTATAACTATGACTATAACCGCCTTCGTGCATCCGTACTTATGTTCACATTGCATTGCATATGCATCGAATTACACGTTTAAAATATCGTAAATATTTTACAACATGTACATATTATATCTCAGCAAACAGAGAGTATTATAACGCAATAGATTTCATCCGTCAAAACATCACAGAAAGAGGGGCAGCCTGGAATTTTACAATGGCATCTGAATGCACTAAGACGTTCAACTGGTCAGGAGGTGAGAGTTGCGGAAGATTACGGTAAACTTCAGTTACAGATCTCCATTACGAATATCTAAAGTATGAATAAAGATCACAGCTTGCTATGACGTGTACTTCATGCCTGCAGAATAAGCAATGTCCTTAGCTCTAAATTGTATGTCTAAATGCTTATGTAGACAAAGAACCAAATGTATATAGGCATGACCATATTATATTCCTCGCAAATATCACCACATTTAAAAACAAAGCTAGATTGAGTCTTTGAAGGGCATTAAGAACTGATACACACAAGGAAAAATATTTATGAATGTCAACGGAGGAACACTGCGTTTCGGAATATATACTTTCTCCTTCATCAGGTGCATATCATTAAATGCTATGAGGCAGAGAACATATATGTGTACCTGTAAGAACAACAAAAGTAAAAAGATAGCATAGAAGGGAACGCAACAAGGGAAGCCAACAGATAACTGGCATGGCACTGATTACCCCGCCTCCCGTTTGCCCATTGTCCATTTCCCATTACCAATCATTCATAAGTTAAGTTTTGGCTTTAATTTGTCCATTGATAATCAACCATCAACGTCTATTATCTTCACCCTAAAAATATGTAGTTTACTGAGAAAGTGGTATCCAAATATAATGTGTGTTACTGTTGACCACTTTCTTAAAGGCATTGTTGGTTCAAAGCTTTCGGTCATAGAAGCCGTGCCATTTTTCTCTTGTCAGAGGAGTACACAAAGTATACGTCATCTGGACTAACATTTTTGGTTCGGTGGCTGGGTTAGATCGCCAACTTTGTGTTCTGGCGATTGGGTGCCTCACTCACAGTGTGGGTTCAAATCCCGGACGGGACTCAACCAAAGAAAGTACGAGAATCTGTACTTTACTCAGAAAGTGTTATCCCAATTATAACATTTGCTGTCAAGAAAACACAATAAATGTATATTCGGCTTTGGATGGGTAATGATATCACAGACATATACGGATATTGATGATGACTTGGAGGAGCTTCGTAACGCACGTCTTCTCAATTCAGGGATTGGTAAATCCAAATATGTGTGTGCGCGTGCGTGCATGCGTGCGTGCGTGCGTAAATGTGGGCCTGTTGGATGTTACATAAAACATTCATCTTGAGCGGGAAGGAAGTTCGAGTTGGATTAGCATGTTAACTATATGATCTTCTTTAGGCAGAGAATGCCGCGCATGAATGTATTGATGAAATTCCTAGGTACATGGGGCCTTTTCGTCCCCAGGAATACCCACAGTGGAGACTTCAATGGGGATAGGGTGTACACAATGTGCTACCTGGTAGATTGTGTGTCATCAGACCGGACAACGTTGGTCTTTGACTGATTGTGGCGTAAAACACACTTATTCATTTACTTATATCGGAAATTGAATGTTCATCTTAATTGTTATTGTTGAACATGTAATATATTTTTAAAGAAATAAAACAGTGACATAATAACTACAACTTTATGTGAGCGCGAGTAGCTTTTTTGGAATGAGATGAATAAGTCTTATAAAGTTGTAAGCTTCTTCACAACCGTGTAACTATGAATTGACTTTATTGGGTAATCAAAAAAGAGATAGGACCTACAATAGCCAAATTTCATACGATTTCACTTGTCCACCATCTTGGATGCAAGGCGAAAACATTTCAGCGCGTTTGAAGCCACTGAGAATGCCCCCTGCAGAGTTCAAACCTCACAGCATTGGTTTTTTGACTGACTGTAGCGTCAAAACAAACTCATTCATTTACTTGAACTGAATGTTCATCTAAATTGTTATGGATAGTCACGGAGCCATGATCCAGAGAACAGGGTGTCATTAGATAGAAATAAACTAAGTAATAATAGGATTACCAGAAAAACGGGGTTTTACACACAAGCAAATAAACTTCGCTCATTAACACCAGAGTAAGTCGGTACAAGATTGAAAACTGCCCCATAATTATGTATGACATGCTTGTCCGGTATTGCTACATATATATGTGAAAACAAAGTTATTTAAATGAAGAGCAAAACTGATGAAAGTTAACTATAAACGTGTATACGTGTTATATCGTCACTGCAAAAATAATGATTGTTTGTCTTTAGTATTAACATTCAAATACGTTATATCTGTATTAGCGATATTGTCTTTGTTCCACCGGTGAGTCAGCGTTAGCCGTACTATCTCGTAGTATAATTGTATTTCTGAAGACATCACGATACAGTTTTTACGATGCATCACGTCTGCACTAGCGCTTGATAACAGCCTTGTGTTTGGGTGTTTCAGTGGTTTAAATCGCTGCTCTTGATATTGTTGATTAAACTTTGATACTATGAACAATATAATGTTATGTGAGAGGTTGACTTTAGAACGGTAACATACTAACAGTATATAGGATGACATAAACAGAACAATGAGAAGTTCGTCCAGATTAGTGTATAGGCAACATTTAATAATTAAAATAATTACATTCAACAACTCCCCTTTTAAGTCCATTTTCCTGACTTATAAGTAAATGCAAGAACAATCGGCCGGAATACAATGTATAGTTCTTGTCCACTTCCATATGACTATATAGCATACAATAAGCTATCGGGTCCCGTTTAGATCGGTTTGGGTGGCAGCCTAGATAGCCATAGAATAGTTTCATCTTGGAATCTCCCATATCACTGGGGATCCTCTTCAATTTAAATGAGGTTACTCGTTACGATTCCGAACCTTCACGTGACTGTGTTTATGAACCATTGTCAAATAGTGGTGACATTAAATCTAGGAAACAATACGCGAAATCGCGCATGCACAGAACGGAAAATTTGGTCAAGGCATTAAGTAATCCGCATGCGCAGAACGATTGATTTCAGTACTTCCGCTAAGCGCTTCGAGTGCAGCGTCAAACGCGGGCCTGTAATCTAACACGCGGGGACTGACCAATGAAATCTAAGAAGTAGAAATACCGGTAGACGCTGTTGCTTGATTGACAATGTCAATCAAGAAAGGGAGGAGCTTAACGCTAACGTTCTCTCCCAGTAAATTCCGATGTCAAATAACGACGTTATTTGGACGGAAAAACGATGGTTTGAAAACGTCCAAATAACGTCGTTTTTCCGTCCAATGACCATATACGGAAAAAAACGACGTTTTCGTGTTTGCAGTGTTGGTTTGTTGTTTAACGCCGCATTCAGCAATATTCCAGGTATATGACGGCGGGATATCATGAGCATCGACCCACGCAATTAGGATCGATGACATGCATCAACCAAATCAGCGAGCCTGACCACCCGACAAGCATAGTCGCCTTTAGATATGAGTGAGATGGTGAGTGAACTTCCAGTATTCCAGTTACATCAGCTCGTCAGCTTGATGTGGGAGGAAAACCCTAAGTGATGCTGGTCTCATACGTTTAAGGGGCGGTCGGGTAGCCTAGTGGTTAAAGCGTTCGCTCGTCACGCTGAAGACCCGGGTTCGATTCCCGACATGGGTACAATGTGTGAAGCCCATTTCTGGTGTCCCCCCGCCGTGATATTGCTGGAATATTGCTAAAAGCGGCGTAAAACCATACTCACTCACTCACTCACTCTCATACGTTTACAATTATGGTGAAAAAACCACGAGCTTGGGCAACGAGCACGGGATATGAACCCACGATCATAGGTTTCTGGTAGCACGTCTGATCATAAATCTGTTCAAAGTAATAGTTTCATCGCACTATTATTTATAATGAAAGGGATCAGTGAAGACACGCAGATATTGGTACATTTGAAACCCACAACGGTCTGAGTGGGTGTGTTTGATTTACCCATGAAGCGCGCTTCTCTACAACAGACCCCTGGAGACCCGGGGTAGAATAGGTCTTCAGCAACCCATGCTTGCCGTAAAATGCGACTACGCTTGCTGTTAGAGGCGACGAACGGGATCGGATGATCCTGGAATATTGCTGAGTGCAGTGTAAAACACCAAACCAACCAACAACCAACCTTAAATATCCATCATCTTCTATGACTGCTTGAAGACAGCAGATACCCTGCACTGTGGAATACGTTCAGCTCGGTATGTGTGATGAAGGTCATGAATTTGTTACAGTTGTGGATACCTACTTTCTTCCTGACGACCCCAAAACTCATCTGTGAGTGGTTCCATCAAGCAGACCAGTGTATTGCATGGAACATTGTTTCCGATAATGTGAAACATTGATTTTACGTCGCCCAGTGTATGATATTCTCTTTCAGTTGAATTTGCAAATGAAGAACATAAACAAATCCAAGACCAACTTCGTCTCTTTTATGAAAGTCAAAAACCCCTCTAAAGTACACACACTATTGTGCTGTCGAAAACCGCTGAGGCAATAAAATGTTCTCATCTTGAGTTTGACAGATTGTACTCCTGCTAACCCTTACTTTCAGAATGATAAATTATGACATGTTAATGAGTAGCATATTGGGTTAACATTTATGCCCATTAGTGCATCGTCTCATGTTCCATTAGTAATGGGATCACATAAATAATGGAACTAGCTAGACACAGATTCACTTCGTTCAGCACGCGTCCTTGTGGTACTGGAGACAAACAACGATGGCCGCCTGTAACACCGGACGTCTTCTCTGTTATGCGTTTCTGTATCCTGTATGGTCTGTTTCCTGCGCCCGTCATCTTGATGTCCTCTGTACGCAACTTCGGAAACTTCAACAACTCGACGTAGCATGTGACGTCAACATTGCATTTCAGCAGATGTGTCGGGACGATACAGCCATCAGAGGTACGTTATGTCATGCCACTCGTTGTACATGGGGTAAACTGTCCCCTGTGTGTGTGTGTGTGTGTGTGTGTGTGTGTGTGTGTGTGTGTGTGAGGAAAAGTCGTACGACGCTCTTTGAAATCTTCATAAAAAAGAAAATGTACGTTTTTACCTCAAATGTTGTGATGTGAAGACACATAAGGCTGGAGCTGCTGGCATATTGCTCGACATGAAGAGAAGGTTGGATATTGGAAAGGCTAAGCCACCCCCTTCGTCATACAGTCTTGTGGTGTTTTTTTTTGTCACTGAATCTATGCATAGATCTTAATAGGAAACAGACGAGGCGGTCCCTTGGTCTCCTCGTCTTGGCTATTTGGTGGATATTGAATGGTATCAGATTATCGAAAAACCTGAAGCTTAAGTTAAACGTCCTCGCCAATTACTTGTTTGACTTTGACAATCCTAGCATAAAGAAACAGATCAGCAGGAAGGGGAGCATAATTGGTTGCCATGGGGATGCCAACTTCTTGCCTAAATACTCTATCCCCAAATTCAACTTAGGTGTTATCTGTGAGAAAGATTGTTTTCTCAGTAAACTGCAGATGACAAATGTTTTATTAACGCTAAAAATTGGTTGAATTATTTTCATTTTTCCTTCTTCAATACGTGAAATCATGGCGAATGTTGTCAAAACCTTAGTCCGAGACAACCCGGAGAGTTTCAGTAGAAACAGAATTAAAACGGTATGTGTTATTATCCTACGTTTGATAAGTTGATATATAGAGAATCTCACCTGAGTGTCTTTTGATATCAAATATATCAACACGAGTTGATAAAAGTGGAAGAATTCCGAGGCTTGCCGAGGATTTTTGCCACTTTTATCAACGAGTGTTGATATATTTGATATCAAAAGACACGAAGGTGAGATTTTATTTATCATCCAACATCATTCTTTCAACTTTTTCAATTTGTAGACATTAATTATCAGTGTCTTCAGTGTAAAAAGTACTGCAAACAGCTTCAGTCGCAGAGCCATTAGTGATGTCATTTGATTGTGACGTCATGGTAACCAGTGACATCACAAGGTCTGCAAAGCATTATGATGTAATGTCATTGCAGCGATATCTACAGTGTAGATATCGCTTGATCTCATCCAAGCTATATCTCCTGTGGGAGCCAGTTTTGGATGATAAATAATAATTGAAAAATAATATATATATACCCGAACAGTTTCAATACTAATCTAGTGTTTTCTCTGTGAAAAATAAAATGTTATGTAAAAAGCAAGACATCTTCATAATACCATTTTCTATAATGATAACACCCACATGAACCACATGTTCTTGCAGTACAGGAGAAAGTATCTGCCTAGCTCGTACGCTCCCCGCACAAGAAAGCTCATTTATATGGTAGGGTCGACCATATAAATATTACATTTCTGACATTTCTCTCTTATAGTTCTGGATCAAATCTCCACACTGGCCTTTGAACAGAACATATGCCGGTATAAGTGAATGAGTTAATATTAAACGAAGCATCGGAAAAGTATACTCTTAAAAAAAAGAAGAAACAAAACGGATATTTGTGGCCATAAAAACAACATTCGCGGACCAAGAGGTGCAAAATTAAGAGGTTTTATATGTTATAGTGTCAGTAACAAATTTCGCGGATCAAAATGATCAAAACAAGGACATGCAAACCATAAGTCGGTCAATTGACAAAAGGACCATGGAGCTGCACGCACTGCAGGCACTATGAACGGTATTCAGGGATTTTGATTGCCTGGCATCTGCGTCAATCGAACAGTGACAGTTCAACAACATGCCAAGATTAACAGATGTGCAAAGAAAAAACGTCATCGGCCACTTGCAGGCAGAAGAATCCTGATCAGCTGTAGCCAGGGTTTTCCATGTAACGCCCAGCACCATCACAAGGCTATGGGGTCGGTTTCAAAAGCATGAGTCGACCCGTGATCGGCCATGGCCGGGACGACCAAGAGTAACCACCCCCGCCCAAGATCGCTACATCCGAGTGCGCCACCTACGTAAAAGGACGACCACAGCCACCGCAACCGCATCCCAAATACCCGGACTGCGCAGAATCTCCGACCAGACCTTACGAAACCGTTTAAGAGCAGCAGGTCTACGAACATTACGTCCTGTTTCACGCGTCATATTCAGTCGACAACATCGTCAACAACGACTGCATTGGTGTCGTCAACGCAGGGTATGGTCTCAACTGCGATGGAGAGATGTCTGGTTCAGCGACGAATCAAGATTTCTCCTCCGACAAGGGGATGGAAGAGCACGGGTCTACGGACGTCGGGGAGAACGTTACGCCGGATAATGCTTCACAGCAGGGATCACAAGAGCCTGTCATCACAACAACAACATTGATGTTCTCCTCTGGCCCTCCAGATCCCCGGATTCGAACCCGATAAAGCACCTGTGGGATGAATTGGATAGACTGCTACGCCGACGTCAACTCCAACGTCAACCACAACCCAAGACGTTGCAGCAGTTGGCTTTGGCGTTGTAGGCCGAGTGGGGTTCCATTCCCCAGGATGTGATTCGCATACCCGTCTCTTCCATGGGCAGGAGATGTCAGGCTACTATCGACTCCAACAGGGGACATACAAAATGTACGCGTTATTGATGGTAGCTGACCTTCCCCCTTGGATTTTTACTTTGTGGGTTGGTTGGTTGGTTGGTTGTTTAACGCCGCACTATTCCAGCTATACGACGGCGGTCTGTAAATAATCGGGTCTGGACCAGACAATCCAGTGAATGATGTCATGAGCATCGATCCACGCAATTGGGATCAATGACATGCATCAACGAAGTCATCGAGCCTGACCACCCGATCCCGTCAGTCGCCTCTTACGACAAGCATTGTCGCCTTTTACGGCAAGCATGGGTTGCTGAAGACCTATTCCACCCCGGATCTTAACGGGCCGTTTCCTATGAACCGATAACTGAGATGACTACAACCACCAAGTGTTTTCTCCACAACATTTTGGCTCAGTATCTTGTACGGTCCCTCGTATAAATGTATTTTCCTACCTCACACAAATATGGCTTTGCGCCTCTCTTTTTTAAGAGTATATCAGCAATAGAGCTACGAGATGAATTGATCTATGTACAAACAGAGTCAATATAAAACAAACACGATTGACACAAGTAAGATACATCCAGACACATATCTGAACTACATTAAACATGATGACAGCATACGTTTTCCGTTAAGCCGATATCATGAATAAATGCAGGGAGGCATAACGTAAAGCATTCATAAAGCACCCGACTTCCAACTTGGATAGTTGGCGCTACATAGAGAATTCATCACGAGTGTTTTTTAATATGGGAAATATCAACCGAGTCTTAGTTAATCGGTATTTGCCGAGCCTTTGGCGAGGCAAATACCGATTAACGGGACGAGGTTGATATTTCCCATATTAAAAAACACGAGTGATGAATTCTATTGATCATTTTCACATTTTTGCTTCCAAATTAAGGAATAATTGCATTAAACATTAACATCAGCAACTTGTCGAAATCTTACGTATAGATCGTGCGTAGTGATACATGTTTTCCATAGCCATGTAAACCAAAATAAACAATTCGCTGAGAAAAAAAGTTCCTCGGATTATTTTAAACAAAATACTTGAACAGACTTTTGCAGAATAATTGAAACTTTAATAACGGTAACAACAACGATTCTGTGTAATCTGATTATATCTCTGGTGTAACTTCACTTATAATATATAGTTTCAAATCAAACAGCTCGCTCTTCCGGTTATCTAATTTGCATATCTAATTTGCATACTTATGTCATTTGGGTATGACATACATGTTTTTATGTCATAAGCTTATGTCATGGATAAATGCTTAAGTTAAATGATAAATAATGTTATTACCCCGCTCAAATTGCGCGGGCGACCAGTAGAGCAGGAAATGCTTACCTTTTTCGCGAAAACTTGGTTTGCAGTGATCCATTCCTATTTTAGCACTATTATGTATTGTTTGGGCAGATAATCGAGACTGATTATTCTCTGAGGTTGGCGTTTTATATTTACACATTATCCCATCTATAACTTTTGATCGATGGTTTAAACTCACCGCATTAGATGTGATGTAGATATATTGAATTGTCAAGAGTTGCTCTAGCGGCGACATGGTTTCTTCAGTTACCCGCAATGCCAACATGGCTGAGCAACAAACAATGACAATGTCACATTGACCACAAGAAATACTGTTATGTGCTTCAAGAATCTCTAAATCGAGACCCGTGAAGATCCAGGGTAGAATAGATCTAGATCTTCAGCAACCCATGCTTGCCGTAAAAGGCGACTATACTTGTCTTAACATCAATAGATTTTGGAATGTACTTTTTCTTCAAAAGCAGTTTATTCAGATTTAGTCACACAGTGTGTTATTGCACGTGTGTCTTTACAGAGTTCATACTAAAAACTTCTCATTCTTAATCCTTTACTTATATATTATTATTAGCAAAATTGTTTGTATATCGCTCAAGAATAATATAAGTTAACTAGATTTTTGATAATTGTGTAAAACGAACTCAAGGATATTATACACATAATACGACAAAGCAAACGTAAGGATAATTTAGATTTAATTTTTAAAAACATAGCCTTATTCTTGGAACAAGTTAGTTGATATATTAACTGTTATTTTGGCACTTATTATTCTAAATAATGTTATTATCCCACCCAGTCCTGTACCTCTCACCATGAGAGTCTGTGAGGGTTATTTGTAAAACCGTGGCAATTATCTTGAGAAGAAAAAGAAGTTTAGGAAGAAAAGACAAGTCTTCGTCAGACAATCGCGAACGCAAACAGTATATACCACTCTTTGTGGCATAGACCGCCTCCGTGGTCTTGTGGTAGAGCGTCCGCCCGGAGAGCGGAAGGTCCGGGGTCATACCAAAAGACGTTAAAAGATGGTACTTGTTGTTACCCTGTCTGTCGCTCGGCATTAAGGGGCTAAAACAAGGACTGGTCGGCTCGGAGTCAGTATACTGTGTCTGAGTGGGGTATTCATGTAAAACTGCGGCATAGTATCTCAGTGGGATAGCACTATAAAGCGACATCAGTCCGGACTAGTACAAGCAGCCACACAAACACACACACGTACATGCACGTCGCTATATAAGTGCAATAATCTTGGACGCGCCGTTAAACCCAATTTCACCTCACCTTTGTGGTATAGCTTTGTCTACGGTTGGTTCTGATTGTGAGCTGGACGTGGACTGCGAGTCTCTGCTCAACTCCCACTGTCACCAGGGTTCCTGTAGGTGTGACCGTGGGCATGGCCCTGATGGAAACACGTGCCGCAACTCCACAGGCACAGACACCTACTGCGCATGTGCCGTGTTGACCACGTCGTGTCAAGTAAACTGAAAGTGACCAGATGATCAGTTAGAAAAGTCTTACCTATACCAGTAATGTTATAAAAACAGTATTTGATTTAACCAACGTAGATCCCATCTTTTCAGATGTATTATTTGGAATTTGATGCCCGGTAATATTTCTTGGAACTGACTGCGGTGACAGTAGTTTTTTGGGAATTGGCATATTAATTTCACGTTATATTTCAAGTCATTTTCATTATGCACGAATTGATGAAAGTGCGCAGGACATTAGACGAAGATTACGAGTAAACATAAACAAGCAAATGTCTGTTTCCTTTCAGGGGGCACGGGTGGCCCAGTCGTCTAAAGCGCCGCAATTCGCTGTGCAGAGTTGTATCACTTTGACACGCCAGAAACAATGATTGAGGGTTCGAATCCCGGTTCGCCCCGATTATGTTTCTAGGTTTGTCAGCACCATAGCCGTGCTCGTGGGTTTTACCGAAGGGGTAGACCTGCATCGCTTCGGGCTTTCTTCCCACATTAAGCTGACACGCCGTGATATAACTTGGATACTGTTAAAAGCGGCGTTAAAAAAAACTCACTCACTCACTGTTTTCTTTCAGTATGTGCATCATCTCCTGGCTACACATGGGATGCCGACACTGACATGTGCTACAGGATAGAAACCCAAGAGCAAAAGAACTGGGCTGATGCTGAAAGAACATGCGCCAACAGCCAAGGACATCTGATCAGACCTGACACTGCCAGCAAAAATGATAAGTTGGGAGAGCTTCTGAATCAATTATCCTTCGGTATGTTTTTGTTTAGTTATTGTATTCTTATCATTGGTTTAGGTTTAACATGCTTGGTTTGTTGGCTGGTTGTTGGCCCATATTCCAGCTATATGACGACGGTCTGTAAATAATCGAGTCTGGGCCAGGCATTCCAGTGATTGACATCATGAACATCGATTCACGCAATTGGGATCGATGACATGCATCATCCAAGTCAGCGAGCCTGACCACCCGATCCCGTTAGTCGCCTCTTACGACAAGCATTGTCGCCTTTTACGGCAAGCATTGGTTGCTAAGGACCTATTCTACCCCGGCGTCTTCACGGGCCTACGTTATTGCTAACTTACCAAATGTTATAGAACTAGTCGCTATATTTTCGATATGGACATAGATGCAGCATAGATTTGGTGCTGCAATATGTTAGGTGCTCTCGAAAGTTGAATAACTTTACCAGCAAGGTAGTTATGAAGGTCACCATAGGACAAAAGGTCAAGATTGTGACCCTAGCCTAAAATCTCACCACCTGTCAGAAAATATACTGCAGATACCACACAATGAGACTTTCGTAACCCAAATGTGTTATAATTTAAGCCAAGAAGTACTCAAGTCTATTAAAAGTTTGAAAAAGCGGAATATATTGTCTTTAGTGGTGTGATTTTGCTCTAAACAAAGTTTCGTCCCTCTATTTGAAAATAAGTCAGCATGAATTTCTGATGCATCACTCCAAATCATAACATCCATGTCCTAGATGTATTCAGAAGTGGTTGAACCTTCATTGTTATATATGTTGTTTCGGGCACACACGATTAACCTGAAGGTCAAAGAAAGGTCAATTTACAAATATCCACCTCAGTAACATAAACTGCAACTTTCTGTTGCATAATGAATATTAATATTTAATAAGATTACACAATTAGACTGTCAAACACTAGATTTATCACATTATTGTTGGAAAGATGAGTCTCGATAATTGTAGCCCTAAACAAGAGTGGTCACTTTGGAGTGATGCATTATAAGTTCAGACTCATACAGAAAATTACAGAAGTAATAGATTAGTGATGGAGAATTATCAATATGCTTGCACCAGAGTAACTTTGTCAGTCACATGATGCTATCGAAAATTATATGCAGATGATCTCTAATCCTGATTATTGATTTCTGTGGTAATAGATCTAGAATATGTGTTCTCAATAGTAGCGACTTAATGGATCGGATGATCAGACACAGTGAATAGCTGGATTGTCATACACTGAATGCTGCTGAATTTTGGCATTAAGCAACCATCAAACTGTAGTAATGAATTGATAATCTTCGGTTTCTATTGCAGATGGACCCGTGAAGATTCCGGGGTAGAATAGGTCTTCAGCAACCCATGCTTGCCGTAAAAGGTGACTACGCTTGTCGTTAAAGGCGACTAACGGGATCGGGTGGTCAGGCTCGCTGACTTTGTTCAATCCCAATTGCTCGGATCTATGCTTATGATATTAATCACTGGATTGTCTGGCCCAGACTCGATTATTTACAGACCGCCGTCTTATAGCTGGAATATTGCTGAGTGCGGCGTTAAACAACAAACAAACAATCTATTGCAGATGCAACTTGGATTGGAGCCCGATATGACGATGGCGCCAAGGAGTGGCAGTGGCTTGACAACAACACCATCACATCGCCACCGTGGGCTCCAGGAGAACCCAGTGGAGACGGCAGTTGCATAGACCTCCGTCGGCATCAGCAGTACAAGTGGAATGATGAAAGCTGTGACACAGAGGCATATTACGTTTGCGAAATCCGACTGAATTGAACTCATTATTATCTTGGTTACCTTTTCTGTTTGGAGCTCTCCACAAGTTTTCCCATTGTCCATTGCAAATCACCAATCAGTGAGAATTTAAGTCCTGGCATGCAGCTGCACATTACAATCAACGTTAATTACTGTGAGGGGCAGTCGGGTAGCCTAGTGGTTAAAGCTTTCGCTCGTCACGCCGAAGACCCGGGTTCGATTCCCGAAATGGGTACAATGTGTGAAGCCCATTTCTGGTGTCCCCCGCCGTGACATTGCTGGAATATTGCCAAAAGCGGCGTGAAAACCATACTCACTCACTCACTCACTAATTACTGTGATGTGTTGGCTTCCACCTATCATTGCAAATTATCTGCTGGCTTCTAAGCTTATTACTTTTATTACATGTACACATGTATGGTCTCTGTCTCATAGCATTCATTCACCTGATGCAAGAGTAAGCATATACTCCGAAACGTTGTGTTCCTCATAATAAAGAAGTTGAGATTGTTAGTCTTATGCTCCTTCATTCATCACAAACCACCCAGGGTGTGTAGACCCGTGAAGATCCGGGATAGAAAGCATCTTCAGCAACCCATGCTTGCCGTAAGAGGCGACTATGCTTGTCGTAAGAGGCGACTAACGGGATCAGGTGGTCAGGGTCCTTGTTGACACTCGAAGGCTGGTGGGGAGCAGAGGTGTCGAATCAAATACTCACATCATGTCTCACAACAAATCTCCTGGTTCGTTTAAAGCAAACAAACGTCGCCACGTCGATTTTGTTTCGTCTGACGACGAAGTATCACCTATTGTTGCAGATTCTTGGCCACGATTCATCGTTATAGCATCAGCAGATGACACTCCTCTGAAGCCTTTTGCCATATCAAAGGGCATCCAAAGTGCTTGTGGCAGAGTGAAGAACGTTATTCGTCTTCGTTCTGGTTCCATCATCGTGGAATGTGCACGGAGATAGCAATCTATCAATTTGTTGGGTCTCAAACAATTTGCTAACATGCGGGTTGCTGTCTCAGTGCACAACACACTGAATTCTAGTAGAGGTATCATAAGAGATCGAGCGTGTTGTCTGTCAGAAATGACAGAAGAAGAGATTGCGACTGAACTAGAACATCAAGGTGTCACCGCTGTTAAGCGGTTCACGCGAAAATCAGAAGATGGCAATATAATTAAACAGAAAATTATCTCTTCACTTTTTCAATGTCTACTGCTCCAAAATCAATTAAACCTGGATACTTCAACATCGGAGTGGAGGTTTATGTTCCAAATCCACTCCGGTGTTTCAAGTGTCAACACTTTGGTCACGGGGCCAACTCTTGCACTGCCAAGACAAGGTGCCTCCATTGCAGTGGTCCTCATGAAGGTACAGAATGCACAAATGTGCTCAAATGTGCCAACTGCAGTGGGGAGCACTTGTCTTCGTCCAAATCCTGCCCAATTTTCGTTCATGAATCTAGGATATTAAAAATCAAGCATACAAACAACATATCATACTCTGATGCCAAAAAGCTACTTCTACCATCTCAGACACCTTCCAGTATAACATATTCTGCCGCAGTGTCTTCAGCCGCAGTCACTTCTCTGTCTTCAGGTCCCCAAATCACTAAATCCATTTGTCAAACTGAGATCTCTTGGATCAACGATGACCAGATCATCATTGATGAAGCTACGCCAAGTAAACCAGCAACACTGTCATCCTCATCTCAGACAGAGAGTCTGCAAACTTTAACCAGTCAACAAATTGAAAGCCCATCTATCAAAAAAGCAAACTAAAAACAAATGAGGAGAAAGACCAGGGCACTCCAGCACTTGGAGGAGCCTTCTCCTGTTGCGTGCCCTGTAGTGGTTTATAATCCCTTTGAACCATTGGACATGGAGGTTACTCCACCCCTCCAAGTACATAGGAATGTCCCCTCCACTCGCTTACGTACCCCCGTTGAACCTCCATGAGCGGAGCTTCTAATTTAATACAATGGAATTGCAGAGGACTTAGGAACAATTTTAATGATCTACAGTTATCATCGCAAGATTTTAAACCATCAGCGTTTAGCTGACAAGAAACATACCTGAAAATACAGATAAATTTGATTTTCGTCAGTACAAATCGTATCATTCGTTTTCACTTCCAGGTGACAGAGCCACAGGTGGCGCTTCTATTTTGGTGAGGCAGGATGTCATCCTAGCCCTGTCCCTCTCAAAGGCAACCTTCAAGATGTTGTTGTCTGTCTTTCTTTACATATAACCTGCACCCTTTGCTCTGTATACATTTCACCATCGTCTCCTCTTCAGCAGTCTGTTCTTCAAGGTTTTGATTGATCAGCTCCCAAGACCATGTGTCATCATGGGTGACCTAAATGGGCATAACCCTCTATAGGGAAGTACTGATACCAGCAACAAAGGGAAAATCCTGGAAGATTTCATTTCAAATAACAATTTATGCATATTTATGATGGATCAGATGCAATATTTACATCCCGCTACTGTAACATATTCTGCTCTTGATCTGTCACTCACAGATCTAAATGTATATAACGAATTTGAATTGACTGCCCACAACGACCTATGTGGCAGTGACCATTTCCCCACAATACTTTCAGCTGTTAACAAGAATGATGATCCACCTGTGACAAGGTGGAATTTTAACAAGGCCAACTGGCCATTATTTCAGACACTTTGTACTGACAAATTGACACCTGACATTTTCATCAATGTCCCTGATCCTATTCAGTTGTTCACGGATAAACTGAATAACATTGCTGATGAAACTATTCCTAAGTCCTCTTTAAAACCACACATTCGTAAACCATGGTTTACTGATGATTGCAAACATGCTAGGAAGAGTAGGAGGAAGGCTGAAAAATACTTTCGCCATCATCCTCCAGTTCATAATTCAAATAATGTAAAGATAAATGATGCCAAGGCTCGACGTACGTTTCAACAAAATCGGCGACAGTCTTGGCAAAACTTTGTATCAAAGATTAATTCCCGCACGCCTATGGCAAAGGTGTGGAACATGATACAAAAAATGAAAGGGAAAGGTTCAAATTCTGGTGTTCATCATCTTAAAGATGGTCTATTAACTGACAAAATTGATATCGCAAATACGTTGGGTGAAACTTAAGCTAAACATTCTTCATCATCCATTTATAATCCAAAATTTCAGAAATATAAATATCAACAAGAAAAGAAAACTATTAACTTTAATTCGGATAATGGTGAAGACTATAATGAAGTATTTTCACTACATGAGCTCAATACTGCCCTAGCGCAAGCTCATGCTACCGCAACAGGGGCTGATAATATACACTATCAGCTCCTTAAACATTTACCCAATGCATGTCTCGAAACGCTCCTAAATATCTTTGATAATGTTTGGACATCAGGACACTTTCCTCCTTCGTGGCACAATGCCATCGTTATACCTATACCATACCTGGCCGGGATCATACCGATCCATCTAAATATCGACCTATTTCGTTTACTAGCTGCGTTTGTAAAACCATGGAACGCATGGTCAATAATCGACAAGTATGGGTTTTAGAAACCAATTATCTTATTTCAAGTATGCAATGTGGTTTCAGCAAAAATCGAAGTACTATTGACCATCTGGTTCGTTTAGAATCATTCATTAAAAATGCCATTGTAAATAACCAGCATGCTTGCTGTATCAATCTTTTTCGATCTTGAAAAAGCCTATGATCCAAATGGAAAAAATGGTATTTTAAAAGATTTACATGACTTTGGTTTTATATCAACAGGAATATTTACAATTAAGAAATAAATATGACACTCACCATTCAATCTTTACTGATGGGTCCAAGGATAGTGGCAAAGTAGCAAGTGCCACTGTTGTTGGATTGCAAACCATATCATCTAGAATACCAGACAATAGCTCTATTTTCACTGCTGAGGCCAATGCTATCCTTACAGCCTTGATATATATTCAACAACAGTCTGCATGTAAACAGTTTATCATCTTTTCTGATTCTCTTTCTTGCCTTCAGGCACTAAATAATGTCTCTTCGACTCTTTGGTTTTAGATATTTTAGAACTTTACAATGATCTTTCAACTTGCCAATACGACATTGTCTTTTGTTGGTTGCCCAGTCATATGGACATAAAAGGTAATACAATGGCTGCTGCAAAGGCAGCACTCAACAAATCTGTAACACCACTTCTTATACCATACAGTGATTACAAAACTGTGATTCGATGTTACATCCGAGATCTGATGCAAAAGAAGTGGGGCACCCAAGCAGGTATGAATAAGTTACATGAAATTAAACCAAATATCGGTTATACCAACTTGGGTTGTCAGTCCAGATTTGAAGAGGTCATTTTACGACGATAACTCATTAGCCATAGTAGATATACTAATGAATATTTTTTAAAGGTGAGGATCCTCCGTTTTGTATCCCTTGTGATGAGAGAATCACAGTCAAGCATGTCCTGATTGACTGTATTGATTTTTCCTTCACAAGGGATAAATATGTCAATGTCAAAACTGTTAAGGACCTTTTTAGCCTTGTTAATTCACGTTTCATCATTAACTTTTTAAAAGATATAGAACTAATTCACAAATTTTGATGTAAAAAGTTATATATTTTATAAATCGGTAGTGTATGATTATTAACTAAGATTGTTCGTAGCTATGCCCTCGACGGGCGTTGAAGTTGAGTAAAATTATTGTCCCCCTAAGAGGGTATGTAAGACCACCACTTTCAAAATATATTAACTGCAGAATTTTTTGTTGATTTTAATCTCTGGCTAAACTTGCAACAATCACCAGTAACTTGGGTAAAGGTGTAAATACTGCTGGGGAACCATGCAGGTATCTGAGGTACCGTAAGTCCCCTTGGTCCCTAGTATGGTGACCTTAACCTTGTTGCTGGTGATCTATCGCCTCATTTTTATATCGTATCGTATCCTAATAATCAGATAGTTTTTATGTTCTACAACTAGTTTTAAGTCAATCTGTGATATCTTGCTGGTTATTATACTCTCCATCGTCGACAGTTTTATTTATTAATATTGCCTAAATCGTTCAAGTCACATTATGGCTGAAATATTGCCGACGTGACTTTAATTAAACTCACTCACTCACTCGGGTGGTCAGGCTCGCTGACTTGTTTGTTGCATGTCATCGATCCCAATTGCGTGGATCGATTCTCATGATATCAATCACTGGATTGTCTGGTCCAGACTCGATTATTTAAAGACCGCCGTCATATAGCTGGAATATTGCTGAGTGTTAAACAACAAACAAACTTAACAAACAAAACATATTGAGGCAAACCTATATAATTTCATTCTTTAAAGTTTACATTGTTTCTTTCATGCTAATTGGATGACTGGGTAGTCATGTGATATGATATTTAGAGTTCACACAAATGTGAATAAACCAAAAATGTTCACACGATATGAACATTTTTTGTGTGAATTAATTGTGTGAACT